CACACACACACACACACACACACACACACACACACACAAATAAAAAGAAATCTAGAATTCCTTGCTGTAGAAAAGGGATTAACTGGCATTATATCATTACATTCAATAATACTGTCACTTCCAAGTTCTGCTTACAAGATTTAAATGAAACTGCTATTTGGAGTGTGTCAAATGACACTGCAACAAGTTTATCCCTAATTCTAATTCTTAAATATCATACCAGGATTTTATTGGAATCATTGAGACGACTCTTCAAAGCAGGTGCAAGTTCACCTATATTTGGCTGTATGAATTTGGCTTCATTAATTATGGTTGTTACTTCATCTAGACCTTCCTTTCGGATTTTCCAGTTTTTATCACCAATCTTAGACACCAGTTCAGAGGTGATCCTATCACTAAAAAGAAAAAAGAGTTAATATCTCACATTCTAGTTTCCTTTAAACAAGAAAAATACAAACAGATTAATAGCAAATACACAGAAGACAGATTTATAACCTAGAGATAAATAATTAGAAGTGTGTGAATAATTAAAAGGTTTTCTCCAAGTGGAGTTAATGTTTAATAACCCAAATTCAAACAAACCTGATATCGGTTCTTGGCAACAGATCCACAACATCATTTCCTGCCTCCTCCTGCTCTTCGCCTTCCTCACCATCATCTCCACTGCCAACAGTATGCCTAGAATTGCCTCGACTTGGAGCAGGTGGTGTTTGTCCTTGCATCTGAAACAGTTACATATATGCATATAAGAGATGTCACTATGCTCCCCTACAACTGGAATTCTAGCTCAGTATATTAACCAAATAAGTAACCACCTTTTTAAAATCAAGTAACTAATTACTGTTAGCACAGTACTGATATTGATAATTGATATTCATAATATCAAATAGTACTTTAAAACAACAACATTCAAAATGGAAGATTTTTAAATAATAATTTGCTGATGTGATAACTTAAACACACTGCTCCTCTATGTGACTGTACCAGCAAAATTAATGAAATTATTAGGCTGATAATGCCCCCACATAAATGGATCCTAGAAAAAAATATTTCTGGCACTTACTTTTTCAAACTCAGCATCTATTTGGGAAAGAAGAGCAGGTTTTTCATCCTCAAAGAACATCCGCAAAGGGGGGCCCACATACAGATACATGACACCTAACAGAGTTATGGCAGATGTTCTCACAGCCTGTTGAATAGACGAGAGAAATTTTTAATTTCAACTGTTCAGACAACCCTGGAATCTCAGCTTGAAAAGAAGATTACTCACAGGATTTGTAGCTGCAAGAGCAGTCTTAACATTGCTGATAAAAGCTTTTACATTCAATCTAAGGGAGAAAACACAGATTATTTGAAAGCAAGACTAGACAAGTTTATTCTGAAACAATTTATTAACAAGGCACTATTATGGAATTTAAGTAAAAAGTTCAGGCATTTGCTCATCAAAAGGTTGGATACAGAACACATTATCCTACAGCACTAACGTAACTCTGAGCTGAACGATGCATTTTTACCTATGGCCTATAGCTCCATATCAGTGCTATTCATCCACCCTCATACTAAGGTATAACAAGAACTGCAGTACAGTACATCTGAAAGGTCAACAGTTCCATATCCATTGTTCTAATGATTATTACCATGAGAGCTTGAGCTATGCTGCTCTGGAAAATTAAGACAGGGTCTTAAATTACCTGAATTCCTCCATATAAATACATAACATAATGTACATTCTAAGACCACAGAAAACTGGTATGGTAGTATTTTTATATAAAAATGCATGCAGGTTCACCTCTTTTCTAAGCCTAAACCTACTGTCACAACAGCTCCAGAGCACCAATATAACACAACATCCTTCTCTCCTCTGCAGTGCCCATTGCCACCCAAACCTTGAGAACACATTTTAGGACTGAATGGAGGTAAAAATGGGAAGGGAGATCACTCTCTCCCCATTCCAGTGAGATATAGTTCCAGCAGCAGATTTAGACCTACTTTTCTGCTAAAGTCTTACCCACACACCTTATTTTGTGTGTTCCCAGAAAAACATCCTATTTCAAAATGTTACTCAAAAAGTAAAGCATGTGCAACATGCAAATAACAGAACTTCCTCAGACAGCTGCTGTGATGTTTCCTTGATGATGTTATTTGCATAAGACAGTGGTTATCCCATTCCCAAAGCTGCTCCCTCCATGATCCAAATTAGGAAAGCAAGCTGCAGGTGGTGTGCTCTCCTCTCTGGTCTAAGACTGGAGATAAACAGTGAGATGTCATGCCTCTCCTTGCACAGTATCTCTCTACTATCTATAACTATAACTGGAGATAGCAAGGGCATTCCTCTTCCACTCTGCTGGCATTTCCTAACGGAGAAGGGGCACTCTGCAAGAGAATGCCTACTACTATCCCCAACTTCTATCCTGCTGTGTCCACACAACATAGCAGCATGATTTCTTATCCACTAGGAATGTGAATGAATGCCCTTGTTATCTCTGGTCTGAGACTGGAGATAGCAATGCCATCCTCCATGAAGAGAAAAGCAAAGAGTTCTGTGCCACAGAGAAAAGGAAAATGACGTCAGGGCTAGATGACACAGAAGGGGTAGACTCCGCCCCATGACATCTTACACCTTTCCAGCTTGGTCCTGGGAGGCAAACTGATCCTGGTACCAACCCACTTACCCATCCCTGCTTTCACTATATTACTGTTTTACCCCAGTTTTTAAAAACTTACCCTGCAAACCCAAACTCTTTGATAGCATTTGAGAGCCAGTTCAAAGTCTCTGATTGGTTCTTTGGATTCTTCTGTGAAAAGGCCAGGGACATAACCTAGATTGAAAATGGAAGATTTTACTTATCTGCACAACTCTAAATGTGAAATCAGAGCAAAGGGGTATCAGGCAAAATCCAAAGAAACAAATCAAAACAATACAAAAAACTGTGCAACTTAAAGACTAACCATTGCATTTTAATGTAAGCTTTTGTGGACATGTCCACATCAGACATTAAAAGACAGAATGAAATGAAATATATATGTGTGAAGGAGTGAGTCTGAGTGTGCCGTCCTCCGAAGAAAAAGGACAGACAAAGGAGAGTGGCTGCGTGGAGGGCGTCTTGGTTGAAATAGAGCAGGATGAGGGAAGGAAGAGGAAGCCTACTGAAGTCTGTCTGGCTGATGAAGAAGGGGTGGAGTTTGATCTGATCATGTGGGAGGACATAAAGGAGGAGGGAAATGGGCGGGTTTTCAGTTGGCTGGGGGAAGGAGCACTTGGACGATATGTAAACCGAGGGGTTCAGACTGAGCCTATGCTCGAGACCAAAGGCACGCCGGGCCTTGCACAGGACTTTCCTAACTTAGGGCGGGGAAGGGGTTTACTGCCTGAACCTTTGCCTCCAAGTTATAGCGGCCGCGTATATGATCCGTTAGAATGGATTGTGTCGGTGTACCCCCGGAATTTCCTTGGCGGCCGGAAGGTGATCAGACCAGGACCCGAGTTCCAGCAGAAGCCTCTGGAGGGAGACTGGGCCCGCCACCCTTGTTGCGGGACTGTGTGTGCGGTAAGGAGCACCCCGCTACGGCCGATGACAGATCGGGAGCGTTTTGGCCCGGCCCCTTGGTAGACTTCAATGGGAATGGGGAAACGCGGCCCCCCAAGAGATACCATTTGTTATCTGATGATGTTTTAAGGGATCCGTTTGATCCAGTTGAGTTACATACTCGTTCAAATAAACTTGTTAATTTTGGAGAAGATTTGCCTCCTCATCTTTTTCCCGCCTTTACCACTCAGCCCCCTGGTTACATGCAACAATTAGGCCAATGTTTGTTTTACAGTCCTGTTGTAAAAATACTTCTAGTGGCTGGTTCACATACATGTGAAAATAGTTTTTTCTGTATTTTTAAACCGTGGATAAGGGAGTCCTACTATAATTGTTTTTATTACACTGGAATCATACCTGTTCAGCAGTCCAAGGTAGTTGACAAGCCTCTGCTATCGCTGTTAGTGCTTCTTTTGCATTGTTCCCACATTTTACATCACCAATTTTGTCCACAAGACCATCCAGCACAATCTGAGCAGATGTTTTGGAGAAGTTTCCTTTCTGAGCAACCAAAGCAACTATTCGAAGTTTTATCTGCATCACCTGCAAAAGAGAACTTCAACCTCTTTATCAGCGAACCTATGAATTACCATGAAGGGACAACAGAATGAATGCACTACAACCCAAGAGGCTTTATGTGTCGTCTAACATAGATGTTGAGATTGCTTTAGCATTTGTCCTGGAACTTATGATGCATACTGCCAAAATCTGAGATACATTTAATAGATTCCATTCAAATTCTCAAATAGGTTTTAGAGTTTTTCCCAGAAGTATGTTTTACAAACTAAATCTCCCACCTCCCCCCGCCATCAAATTCTGAAAATATTTCCTAATGAAATAGATCAGAAATCCATAGTTCCCAAATTGCATTTCTGTGCACATCCTTGGTCAAATCAAGCTCTCTGCAATTATCAGGATGAGGGGGGCAAAAACCTCTCCAAGTTTACTAAGCTCTCCATTCTGGAAACTGGCAGAGGGAATCATATACTTCAAAGAAAAATATCCTTTATCTTCAGAGAGGCAAGATAAAAGATTGAGTAAAGCTATGCTAGAGAAACCAGACCTCTTGTTCACCTGAAAGCTACTTCAATGAGTTATTTTTAGGATTGTGACACTTCATTAACAGTACATTAGAAGGTGGAGTGGATTTTATTCCCTCACATAGGGTTGGCTTCCTCGAGGCATTGGCCAAGCTACCTTGATTTTAAATTAATCAAAGGAACCTATGTAGTGGAAGGAGGACAACTTCAAGAGATGGGAGCATGTCCTCATCTGCTATAGGAAAATGCTGAGTTTCTTCCTTGAAGGGCAGGAAATGCAAGCATACTGATCTGGCATATTATATTTGGACATTTTACCATAATAGTACAGTACTGTTTTCATTCTTCAAGTCTTGAGCAAAATGAAAGGTTACATACCCATTCATGTGTAAGACAACTAGGATTATGCCATGCTTTAAGTATGATTGGTCTTGTATAGCACCGGACAAGTAACTCCAAGATTTTTTAAAGGCACTGTTGTAAAAATTATAGGAGGGCAACTTTTGCTAGTACTATGAATATTAATAGTGTAACAGTCTGTTGCTTTACCTGGAAGTTGGTCTCCTTCCATCCAGGTTTCTTTGCCAACATCCTTACTAGAGCCTGACAAGGCATCTCAGCTCTGTCCATTAGCTCCACAGCCTTAAAATTTAAGAGTAGAGTACATGAACTCCAGGAAGTACAAAGCAATCATTTAGGCCACAAATATAAATGAATCAACATTCTGCAAGCCAATATTCACCCTGACACATTTTCAGATGCTAGACAGACAGTTCCCTATTTAGCTTCTCCAGAATTTATGCCTCCTCAAGTTAATTCTTATTCTCCTTCACACAGTTGTATATCCTAACAAAGTGTTACATTTTAAAAGGTATACTAGACAGTTCTTTAAACCAAGCAACAGATCCTCAGTCTAGCTAAAGAAAGAAGGGTCACTTTTCCATTACAAATTCTGTATTTATTAATGTAAGATTATACCAGAAGTCTGCACAGCATAGTATAATTTCAAGCTATTCTGTGGACTACAGCAGGGGTCCCCAACCCCCAGTCTGCGGCCTGGTGCCAGTCCGTGGGCTTCTCGGAACTGAGCCGTGGAGATGGATCTCTGCCCCCCCTCGCCCACCTAGTGGGCATGTTGCGTTCACGTGGGCATTGCGTGAGCATGACACACCCACAAAAGCGCGGAGGTTCCCCCACCACCCCACTGTGCACAGAGCCCACCTCCCAACTGGTCCGCAGTCCCAAAAAGGTTGGGAACTGCTGGATTACAGGATATTTTTTTTGTTTCAAGCTAATGTTTATAATTACAGGAGATAAGCTTTCTACTTCCAAAAGATCATGAATGTATAATTACCTTTTGAAATTCTTCCATGCAAGCAAGCCTTTCCTTCCAGTTGCCACTATCTAACTGCTGCAGGCAAGCAGCTGGGAGGACAGCTGAAGCCTTCTCCTCACACATCTCTATCTATTAACAAAAAGGAAGGAAGACACAGAAAGAAAGTTAATTTTCTGGTGGCCATAACTTGTATTCTACACACAGTTCACCTGTGCTCTTCATGTAAGCTATAACATGGGAAATATACATAAGATATTTCAGTTTAAAAATACAACCATGCTATGTCTGAAACTAACATTGTATTGTAAAGTACTACTGATACATTTCTTAAGAGCAGAGACACGTCAGGTTGGCACCTCACAGAACTGGTATAAAATGTCTCACACTGTTTTTTTTAATACAGCTGAAAATAACCAAGCATTCACATACACAATACATAAACTAAAATACCACTTTTAATAATGCACTAAACTCACATTCCCAAGTTCTCTGGTCCCTTACCACCTTCAAAAGATGAACATTTGCTGTGTCCACACAAAATGTCAGAATATTTCAATTAAAATGAAGAAGGATGTTATTTGGCACAGAACAGAATTCCTATCCTAACACTCCCTGATTAATATCGATATTTTGATTCTCCTTCTCCAGCAAACTCATAAGCTGTCACAAGGGAATTTAGTTCCTCCTTAAAGTAAATCTAAAACAGTAGTAAAGTATAAGATTAATTCAAAAAGAAAATTTGATCCAGCTAATTTTGTATCTCACTCTACAGAAATATCACTACATGCAACTGTAAATAAGACATAAAACCATACTGCAAAAAAAAAAAACCCTGAATTTGGTTATTTTTTCCTCATGAGAACAAAATAAGCAAATTATTATAAAACATGGGAGGTTGCATTGGGTTCTAATACGATAAAAGTACCAACCGAAAGCTCTGGCTCAAATATTTCCTTTACTTCAGTTCCCTTCTTGCCTTTTGTTCCAGAACTTACAGCTCCACCAGCAGTAACTGGCTTGGCCTTCTTCGATGGCCCACCGACCTAAGTACAAAAAGAGTAAGTTTTTTAAAAACCTATTTCTAAGAAAGATGGAGACAGTATAAGACGAAAGAAAAGGCACCAGAACACTAACAAAATGAGACAGATACTCTATCCGAAGAGGTCTCCACCCAATGTCTCTCTACCCAAAAGACCGGATTTTTTTATTACTGCCTGAGAACTTTGTTATTCTCAGAGACCTTTGTCAAAGCAGTGTCTGATGATCTATGGTGATCCTAACAGGGTTTTCAAAGTGTATGAAACACATCAGGGGTGGTTTCCAATTGCTGAGAGACAACTGCAATCCAAGGTCTCCCGAGACCTAATGCATATCTCTATCCACTGTACCACTATAGCTCTCATAGATGTACATGCATACAGATATATATGTGCACATTTTATGTATTTTAACTATTCTTGGGTATCTTAGCTGTCTCAAAATTCAGTTGTTTTCCATTATTTATTTTAGCCACTTCAACTATTTCATGGGGGCAAACCCTTGAAGAACAAAAAACAAACAGCAATGTTAACTTCCTATCGTATTAATTTTTTTAAAGTACTGAATACAATTTGAACATTTTTGTACAGTATCCGAGCTCTTAGGCAGAAGCAAGTGGCAGTTATCTCTTGAAAAGTGTGAACAGGCACAGGATTCTCAGATTTTTAACCCGTGAAGTCTGCAGGAATCTCCCCAGGCCAAACATCTGGGGATTTAAATCAAGAAATCAAAGATCAGATGCATGTTTATAGGGTTTTTTTTTACAGCTAATGAATGTAGATTCTGACAGCCATTTTCATTCTGTGGAGAAAACAAGAGACAGTGGTAGGCAGGGCTAAGCTCTGTAGGAGATGCAATGGATCACGGGTAGAGTAGCCCTTCTCCATTAAGCTTTACGCAGCAAGTCTCATAAAAAACAAAAACAAAACTACCAGACCTATAATCTTTTGTAGCTCCCATAGAACCTAGCCTTGCCAACCCATTTCCCCTGTCTTCTCCACAGGATGAAAACGGCTGCCAGAGTCTGACTTCATTAGCTCTTAAGAATTTTAAAACACCTGTCAGGACGTTGAATTCTTGACTAAAGCCCTCAGAAGTCTGGCTAGGAGAATTCTGGAAAACCTCAGAGGGTCCTTGTCCATGAATTCTGCAAATGCCATGCCTATGTGTGAATATGCAAGCAGTTTTTCTATCAATGTAGGGACAGTCATATTACAAGTTAATTTTCCATACCTTAGCAGCAGGTGCCTTTTTCACTGGACCAGATTTGGCCACATTATCTTTTGTGTCTTTATCACCAGCAGCCCCCGAAAGAGTTGGAGCCTTCCCAGCAACAGGTTTGTTCTCCTTTCTGTCAGCTCCTCCAACAACTCTACCTCCAGCAGCCAGCTCCACTTTTTCAGCACACTCTTTGATCTAACAGACAGAATTAGGAAAACAAAGACACTGATGTAATTCTTTGTTCATCGTGTGCTTTCATGATCTAGTATATTCACATCTTAACTTCACTGAAAAGGGTTTAAAGTTATTGTTATGTGCCACCAAGTCACATCTGAATTACAGTGGTGCCTCGCTTAACGAGCACACCGTATAACGACGAAATCGCATAGCGATGGGGTCTCAGCGATAGCGAATGCAATCGCATACCGATGGCCCCTATGGGCAAAACTCGCTTTGCAAAGATCGGTAAGCATTTTGCTTACCGATCTTCGCAAAACGAAGCCCGACAATCAGCTGTTCGGCGGCTCCAAAATGGCCGTCGGAAGCCCCGAAATGGCCGCGCACAGCGTTTTCGCGCCGTGCCCTCGCTTAACGAGGGCGCGAAAATGGCTGCCGGACCCGGGAAGCACTGCTGAACGGTGAGTTTTCGGCCCAGAAAATAGAAAAGTTTTGGGCTTTTCTGTCCCGTTCAGCGATGTTTCGCCATAGCGAGACACCACTGTATAGTGATTAACAGAGGTGCACTGTTACCAGGATACACCAGGTGGCGCTAACAATAGAAAACTTCCCTGAGAGATGAAGACGCCAAAAACAATATGTAGTGTTGATAGAAGAATAGTTGTATTATTTACAGAATATATACAGCTTAGTCCTTGTTTCCAGTCCGAGGTCATGCATAGCAGTTCAATAGGGTTCAATGCATAAATCAGAGTCAAAGTCCTTGTAAATTAGTTCAGTAGTCATTTACCATATGAGCAGTCCTGAAGCCAAAGTTCTTCTTCCAATATGGCACAAAGACACGGCTTCTTCCAGGATCTCTCCAACACAGCACCACGACACCAAAACCAACCAACCCACAGAGTGTGTGTGTTGGGTCTGCTAGCTTTATCTCAGGATTATCCAATCCTGAGATTTTTTCCTCAGCTATCACAATTAACTCAGCTGTATAAATTCTAGCTATACATATTTCTACAGCTCTGATCCTGACAAATACTTACAGAATTGTATTCAACAATTCCACCAGGTTTAATTTCAACCTGTCAATCTCCTCCAATTGTTGAATTCAATTCTTACTCACACATATATACATCTTTAAATTGTTCTACAATGTTTCACATCACTAAATATTTACATTCACATTTATTTCATTTTAATCCCAACATGTTACAAGCTCTTTCATGCTTTGTAGGTCCTAATACTTGGTTAAACAGTCAGCAATATTCTTTTCAGTTTCACAATAAATCAGTTCTATTAATACATTTTCTATGCTTTGTTTTACATTTTGATATCTGATATCAGTATGCTTTGATCTACTTTTAACGTTTGGAGAATTTGCCATCTGAATGACTGCCCGGTTGTCTTCATTAACTGTTATTGGATCTTGTAAAAATATCCCTACATCCTGTGCTAATTGCTTGTAATAAATAAGATCAGTACGTAGTTCCGATAGAGCAGCATATTCTGACTCAGCAGACGATAAACTTTTGCCTTGCTGTTTTCCAATTTACTAAACTTCCACCTAAATGTACTGTCATGCCTGAAGTAGACCTTCTTGTTATGATATCACTTCCATAATTAGCATCAGAATAAGCAGTTATGGTTAACTCTCCCTTTGGCTCTAAATATAATTGTTTGTTTTGTGTCTTCTTTAAATATCTCAACACTCTCTTAGCAGATTGCCAATGTTTTTCATTTGGCTTGCACACATTTCTTGACAATAAATTTACTGCTAAAGATATGTCAGGTCTTGACCATCTACTAAAGTACAACAGACTACCAATTAAAGATCTATACAAATCAATATCACATTTTCTTTTTCATATTCAACATTCATTGGAGTTACAGCACCTGTGCATTTTTCCATGTTGTACTGCTTTAATAGCTTCATTATTTTCTCTGAACTATCTTAAATCCTTTAGCATATCTTTTTATTTCTACTCCTAAATAGTTGCTTATCTCACCTAAATCTCTCAATTTATATATTTTTTTCAACATTTGAATTATGTCATCAGCAGATTTCTCACTCTTTGTAAATATAGCTATGTCATCAACAAAAATCAATACAATAGCTTGTTCATCTCTTCTTATAAATAGACAAGGATCTGCTTTTCCTTGTGAAAATCCGTTACCGTTGAGAGTTTTGGATAAGTGTTGATTCCATTCCATTCATACCTGCTTTGCCTCAATCCATATAAGCACTTTTTCAGTAACCAACATTTGCCCTTTTTTTCAATACTAGGTGGTATTTTCATATAAATTGTATGTTGCAGGTCAGCATATAAATAAGCTGTCTCAATATCTATATGTCTAGAAACTAGATTGTGCTTAGCTCCATATGTCAACACGAATCTCAATGTCTCCTATCTTAATGCTGGAGCAAATATTTGATCGTAATCATCAGAAGTTTGAGAATATCCTTTCGTAACTAGCCTTGCTCTGTACCTTAAATTACCATCGGCATCTACTTTCTTCTTAAATACCCACCTGCATCCTATAATTTTACAGTTATCAGGTTCCTCAACTTCCTCATATACTTTGAGCTATTTTAGAGAATTTAACTCTTTCTCTAATGCTTCTTCCCATCTTTCTTGCTCATTTTCTGGCATATTGCATATATCCTCATACGTTTCAGGCTCTGTCACATTAAGCCAGTAATATGTTTCTGGCTTATATCTATCTGGTGTTCTACGGACCCTGGCTGATCTCCTAGGCAATTCCCTCTCCTCCTCAGGAGTTTCCCTCTCCTCTTAGGTTGATGGAACTTCATTATCTGGCTGTGGTTCAACAGGTTCTGTTTCTTTCTTAATTACCTGTTCTGGTTGAGAGTTCTCCTCATTACCACTATCTTCACCATTCTCCTGCATTTCTGGTGTTTGTATGATGGTTTCTGGAGGCATACTGATTTTGTCCCAATAAGTGTGTTCATTAAATGAAGCACTGCTGCTAATAACCACTTTGTTTGTGTTGGGTAATCCAAATCTGAATGCCTTTCTATTTTGTTGATAACCTAAAAAATACATCAGTTGGCCTTCTTATCACCCTCTCTTCTAGTTTCCTTAGGGATGTGGACCCATGCTGGAGACCCAAAAACATGTAGAAATTTCAAATTAGGTTTCCTCCCTGTCCAGATAGTATATGGGATATTATTTATTCCATTGTGCCAAAGAATATTCAAGTAAAAATTAGCAGAAAGAATAGCCTCTTCCCAGTATCGATCTGAAAGTTTATTCCTCTTATCATCGCCTCAGCCATGTTTTGAAGTGTTTGACCCCTTCTTTCTATAAATGCATTTTGTGTTGGGGTATAAGGAGCTGATTTCCTATGAGTAATTCCATGTTTACTGAAAATTGCCTGGAATTTCGCAGTTGTAAATTCAGTCCCATTATCTGTCTGTATCTGTTTAACCTTTCTACCAGTTTTCCTTTCTACAAATTTTAACCATTTTTCAAATTCAATATGTGTTGAACTTTTATCTTTCATCAAGTAGCAGAAACCGAATCTAGATTTCTGATCTTGGATTGAAAGTATGTACTTTGCTCCTCCTAATGATGCACGTTTAGGTCCTATTAAATCCATTAATACAAGGTCTAAAATATTGTCAACTTGTACATTACTGTATTTCTTAGTAGGAGCACTTTTACTCTTAGCTAATTGACATGCTTGGCAGTTTACGTTCTTATCACACTGCTTTAAATTTACTCCCACTGAGTTCTCTATACGTAAAGTTTTATAATAAGCATGCCCTAATCTCAAATGCCACAAGTGATTACAATCCCTATGTGGACATATATTTTCATATACATTGTTAGCTTTTACACTGTTCAATCTGTATAGATTGTTTCTAATATAGCAATTCAGCTTTTCATTGTTTTCACCAGTAATTACACATTTACTCTTATAGAATGTGCTAATAAATCCATCCTTAGCCAATGAACAGACAGTAAATCATGTTTAAGTTTTGGCACATATACTGTATTACATCAATTGGCTGATTTAAACACAGTAATTTTACTTTGTCAGTGATCCCAACAGCATTTCCAAAGTCCATAGACACTCCCCAGCAAATTTCCATGGCCAAGTATGGATTTGAGCCCAGGTCTCCTGAAGTCCTAGTTCATCTCTCTGTCGACTACATTACATTGTCTCTCAATGTAATTCTTTACTATATAACCAGCACCACCCACATAGTCACCACATTATTACATTACTTCACAAACTACAGAACCTGTGTTACTGCCAAAATGCTACTGCCACTGAACTACACGGACTGCTCTGTTTATTTCAAGTTTTCATAACATGTCTCTAAAACAAAATTAATGCCAAATACAGAAATCTTACATGATGAAAACTTAATGGTAGTTTATTTAACACATGGACTTTTAGATTATATTGTTTTATAGAATCTAAAGCTTATAAAGAGCTCATACACAAGTGGAAGAAACTCCAGAACTTTAAACAGTGGTGTCTAAGGAAAGGATAATGCTCTATGGACCCCAAGCAATTCTCTCTCTTCAGATTAGTGCAATCATGTTCTCCTACATTTTCTGGTCAGAGAAAAAAATCCTACACATGGCTGTGTGACAGATAGTAAGCCAGAGTGGAAAACTGCTTGTGTCACTGCTCTTACACAGTTATCCCCAACAGGATTTTGGCTTGTGTGTCTAACCCACTAGCAAACCTTGGGATCACCATGCTGCTCTATTTAAACACTACAATGTTGTGAAGTTCCAGCATCAAAAAGTACAACTTACCCGGTCTAACTTCAGTTTGTCCACATCTGTCAGGAATGGATTCACAGCTTTCTCACCTACTACTTTCAAAGCAGTACCCAAGGCTTCAAATGCAGCATCTCTAACCTCAGGAGCCGAATCATTAATATGCTGTAGCCAAACACAAGACCTGAATATTCACTCAGACAGATTGCAAAATCACACTAAACGCAAAGCAGTTATTTTTCAAAAACATTCCAGCAGTTAGAATTATAATAAAAGGATAAAAATTATGCTTGTTTTAACAAAAATACAAACAAATTTATATCAAACTTGCAGGTTTTTTTAAGTTCAAGCAAGGACATATTAAACCCACGACAAAACAAAGGCTTTAAAGTAAGTCCTATAAAACCTCTGTTGGACTAAGCTCTGTTGAACTTAGAAAGGCCCCTTCCACTGAAGACAACTAGTTATTTCACTGGCCTTTTCTTTAAAATGACTATTGACTGTGGAATAAGATAGCAAATACTATGATTAACCAATTCTTTCCAGAGAAAGTAATAAATAAATCTGTAACTTGAAAACACATTTCTACTTTCTTATCTCCAAGAAACAGTCTGAATTACACTTGCCTCTGAAGATCTAACTCTCCGAGCCAATTTTAAGCAAGACCAAGCACAAAAAATATAGCTATAGCAAGTGAAGTCATGGCACTTAGCCAAGTCACTTGGGCTCTTGCAGTCCTTAAATGCTCAGACATATTCTAATTGTCTTCTCTTGACTCTGGATATTTCGAGAACTGCTGAAAGAGTTTTGCTAAATGTTCCATTATTTTAGTGCATACTAGCACAAGAAATGGCCATGTGACCACGGAAGATTGTCTTTGGACAAACACTGGCTCTATGGCTTGGAAACGGGCATGAGCACCGCCCCCTAGAGTCGAACACGACTGGACAAAAATTGTCAAGGGGAACCTTTACCTTTATCTTTACCTAGCACAAGAAAAACTACAGAATATTCTCCAACATTATGTATCAGCAGATATCTTCTACACAAAAGGTGTAACTTTTGGAGACAAATTGCTTCCAATTAAGAAATCTCCATAGATGCTATCTGTTGTGTACTTAGTTGTACAACTCAATATGTAACAAGTAATGTCTATGAAGATTTAACTTGACTCAATTCACTTCCAAAAGTTAACATCTTTTGCATGCAAGCACAAGATTTCAGGTATTCTCTCCAGTTCAACACATGCCTCTACGACATCAAATCAAGTACTAAAGAAGAAACATTTTTACCTTAAGGAGAGCAGCACAGAAAGGCTTGAGTAGGGCCTTGGGCAAAGTAGAAGGAGTGCAGTGACGGAAGCTTCTTGCAATGAAGAGGGAGGTCTGCTGCTTGATGGTTGGGTTTTTGTTATCCATCACAGCCAATATATCCTCACTGAGATTTTGGAGTGTAGTCTAAAATGTTTGGATAATGGAACTTAGTTTCAATGAAAGAAAAGCCTATCAGTCTTGTTCAGAATATAGATAGCCATGTACTTACTGTAAGGAATATGGCATCGATGGCTTCTTGCAAAGCTTGCACCACCTGAGGCTTCTTCTCTTTGAACTTTTCCAGGATAGTTGGGACGACCTATAAAATTTTAACTGAAGTGTTAAAGTAGTAAAAATTCATCTCCTGAATGCTCTCCTGGAGCACAAGAATACTCACATCTGTCCCATACGCAGGAGAGGGAAAAATCACGTAATCATAATTTACTTTTACAGCATCAACGAATACTGCAAAAGAGAACCTACCCTTTAAAGAAAGATCACATGTATGTGTAAGATTGTGTGTGATATCTTATTTTAAAGGGCAGATTCTCTTTTGCAAGCCTTAGAAAATTTACTAATCTATCCAGATTACAGCATCTCAATTGCATAGAATACCTTTAGCAAAATAAGTCCAACACACACTGCTAGACTCGTGTTGTTAGAAATTTAACAGAATGAAGTTTTTACATTTAAGCAGTCAAAAATAATAATATCCCAGTTCTGAGCTGTAAACTTCAGCTGTTCTATTCTCTAAACTGCAAATAAGCAGAGTACCACTTACATGACCTGCATACTGTCCAAATTTCTTTCTGAGTCCAGTAGCCAATCCAGCAAGGCATTTAGCAGCTAAAGCAACCAACATCACATTGGTATCTTTTCCAACAACCTATAAGGAAAAAGTAATGTTAATAATCCAGTTGCAGAAATCTGAAGAGTATAGCTACAAAAAGCATTGAAAAGGCATTCCAAGCCCATCAAATGCAGCAGTGAAGTGCAATAAACCCACTGAGATCCAGATGTTGGCTTTCCCATCCCATCACTCAATCTTATGTTGTACTACATAATTAAATGGTGCTCCCACGTATCCGAGTATAAGAGTGTATGAATCCTAGGCTGTTCACTTTGGGAGAACATTACTTGAACTCCCTGTATGTACATATATAACAACTCTTGTATACTTGTGTACATGAGCTTCACTTCTACAACCACACAGACAATTAAAGTTGTCTCTCATTAGCAACTCAAGGATGTTGGGTGATTATCATAATCACACTCTGTATTTATTAATACAAAACAAAAAAAAACATTTGGAAGTATTCTAATTGTGTATCCCTGCATATGCATGTGATCAATGTGTTTGAGTGATAAACAGATACTTGCCTTCTTAAGAGCTTTCACCAAATCTGCATAGTCTCCAGCTTCCAGCTTGGGATTTTTAACCAGTAGTTCAACTGCTTCCAAAGCTTCTTTCCTCTCCTGCCATTTTTTGGCCTCCTGCAATGTAAATCATTAAGAACATATGCCTGAATCTTGAAATTTCTAGGATTTGCAGAGTTGGCTTCACATGCATGCTTACTAGATTTACAGTATAATTTTTTCAATGCATATTGAGGAAAATACATACTGTATATATTTCTGCACCAAATATTAACTGACACACAAAAGCTACTATGAAGAACATGGATTCTGTGTTACAGAGGCACAGCTTGCCTTGTATTACATCTGCATATTTTTATCACTGGAAAGCATACACTTTGGTTATGTGCCAGCACCTGCACGGACTAGGGAGAGAGATATCTTCAAATGGCAACTTTACTGCATTCAATCATGAGAATGCATTCAATGACACATCACAAAAGGTGTTGTTATTGTTATTATTGATGATGAAGATGAAAACAATGATGAGGACAACAACAACAAGAACAGCAACAATATGATTTATAAACTGTCCATCTGGCAGCCAAGGACACTCTGGGCAGTTTATAGCAGATAAACAAACAGCAGAATAACAAAAGTTCCCACAGGATAAAAGAATATCCTTGGGTATGAAGCCACGTGAACAGGACAACTAAAAATTATATTACGTTGCATATGTCTTTACACAGAATGAGAACCCTAATTGTACGAGAACACAGGGCAGATAAATTTAACAACTATGATTCAAGGGGAAATTGTAGAAAGACTAAAGGTGAAGAATATCAGCACTTACAATTTTATCATAGAAATCTTTAGGAAGCTTGGAGAGAATTTCAACTGCTTCCAGAAGTTCATAAGCATCCACCTGTGGAATAGCTTCATCAGTATCATCTCCACCTGCAAATACAAAATTTAGAAAATACAAATTTGAGCTATTTCTGCTATTGCTTTCATTTTACTGAATATAGCAGTAACATTTTGTAGTTAATGGCTTATATCTAGTTTTTATTTCGCTTATGTTTTATGGCCAGTGTTACATAATAATAATAATAATAATTTATTGTCATTGTAAGTATATACACAGTATACCCATACAACGAAATTCACAGACACCCAGAGACCAGATACAGTGGTGCCTCACACAACGATGTTAATTGGTTCCAAAAAAATCAACGTGTGTGAAACATCGTTCTGTGAAACACCATTTCCCATAGGAATGAATTGAAAACCGGTTAATCCGTTCCAATTGGAACAGATTGCCGTCTTTAAGTGAAAAAACCCATAGGAAACATCGTTGAGTGAAACAATGTTTCCTCCATTGGAATGTATTGAAGCCGACTCAATACATTTCAATGGCTTTGCGAAGTCCTTTTTCGCTCCTGTAAAAGTGCCTTACAGTGTTTGGAACAGGTTTTAAATGCTTGCAATCGTTAGCCCACCTCCTGAACCCTATGCAAACTTAATTTGATGTTGTTCTGAGCCGTCCTTAATTTTTAGTGATTTTTTGAATTTTCTCTCATTGGAATTTATTGAACTTTCCGTCCAATGCATTCCAATGAGACAAAATTCAAAAAATCACCAAAAATTAAGGACGACTCAGAACAACACCAAATTAAGTTTGCATAGGGTTCAGGAGGTGGGCTAACGATTGCATTTAAAACCTGTTCCAAACATTGTAAGACCCTTAAAATGAGCGAAAACGGAAGAGCTTCAAAAGCACTGAAGCCGGCTTCAGTGCTTTTGAAGCTCTTCCGTTTTCGCTCATTTTAAGGGTCTTACAATGTTTGGAACAGGTTTTAAATGCAATCGTTAGCCCACCTCCTGAACCCTATGCAAACTTAATTTGGTGTTGTTCTGAGTCGTCCTTAATTTTTGGTGATTTTTTGAATTTTGTCTCATTGGAATGCGTTGGACGGAAAGTTCAATAAATTCCAATGAGAGAAAATTCAAAAAATCACTAAAAATTAAGGACGGCTCAGAACAACATCAAATTAAGTTTGCATAGGGTTCAGGAGGTGGGCTAACGATTGCATTTACATCGTTAAGTGAAATTCCCCCATAGAGAACATCGTTAAACGATGGGGGAAATTCCTCAAAAAAACTCATCGCTGTGTGAATTCATCGTTGTATGAAGCAATCGTTGTGCGAGGCACCACTGTACATGCACACAAATAAAATTCCCCAAACACTCCCCACCCACTAAAAGTCCCCCACTAAAAATACAAACATCATTATGTAGTGTTTGTCAGCAAAACTCTCAGCTGTAAAAAGTTCCAGGTCCAGAGTTACCTCCATCTGCATCCCCACCAGCTGCCTGCTGCTGCTCAAACTTTGCCTTCATTTCTTGCTGGGAGCGAAGGAATCTGGTCTGCTTGGGGGCAGACGATGGCAGTTTGACCCATTCTTCTTCTAGTTCTTTTAACTGAAAGAATCAAAATAACTTAGTTAACTGCTTTTTTAACAAATCATATTTAGTGGAACTCATTAGTATGGTCACTAAAGTCTTCAAGAGAACAAATCCATCCCTTCAGTTAAAACATATCACCATATGCCAAGCATAGCACAATTATTTGGTACGGCAGACTATATGAGTATACAGATGAAATAAACAGAAAAAATCTTGTTGGTGTAGTTATACTGGTATAAACCATATCTTGGAACTAAATGAGCTGAAAGTTTACCCCCATTTCATGTCCCAAGGCTCCCTAGGGATCAATTCCCTTTGCCCTGGATAAGCCTTTCAGAGCATCAGGATGGCAGGAGAAAATTGTTAATAGTAAAAATCATTGTCAGATTGCTGCCAGCAGGATTGGAACTATCAGCAGCCATCTGGCAGCAATTTTTTTACTATTAAAGGCTTCCACTGCCATCCCAAGGCTCCCCAAGGGCAAAAAGGAGCCTCAGAACCAGAAAGGGCGGGGAAGCTTTCAACTCATTTAAATTAATTATTTTCTGTATCAGGACCCAGTTTGTAGTTGTGTACATATAACAACAGGATTTTGCCCAATGAGTTCTAATTTGATCTTCTGAAACAGTCATTATACAGGTATACATCAGTTTACAAGCCTAGAAGCTCACAATGCTGAAATTGTAACTGTATTATGCAACTGCTGTGATTTTGATGCATTAATTCATTCTCCAATTTAAAAAGGAATCAAGATGAAGATGTTAAAATGCGTCTAAACACAGATGCACCTAAGTGCTGCATAGTTCAAGTAGGCATTAGATGAAAGTTTAGAAAATAGTTTTCATCTTTGCTTTCCAAAGAAGATAGTCCCTATTTCCAGATGTTCTTTGAAACTGGTTGTAGCATTCTCTATTTATTTGATCTATGGTCTATGTTATGTAATATAATGGTTTATGAATATTAATATTGCAGAGAGGCGGAGCTCAGACAGATTCTATAAGGGGTGGAGCCTGAGTCAATATTTCAGTCAGAGTGTAAGATTAAGAGAGTTTAAGAGTGTGTAGAGAGAAAGAGACAGTGTAATAGAGAGTGTAGTTTGGGGAAATTCTGAGGAATGATTAACTACTGAAGATATTCATGAATCAATCTATGTATTCAATAAACCAAAGTTTTATTTAAAAGAACCTGAAGTGTGGACCTGAATCTTTCTGAAGTAAATGGTGGCAGCAAGTGAAAAGAGTGAGGTTTGTTTGCCTTCATGTGCTCTGGGGCTTGAAGGTCAAGCAAGGGGCACGAGGGTGGACATCACACTGGTCTTCTTTGCAATTAGTTAACATCATTGTTAGCTAATAACACTTATCAGATTCTGAAATTTTACTCCTTTTGACTCTAATGATTTGACTGGTATACATATTGGCTTTAAAAGAATATTTCTCAAGCTCTGGCTTTTATTTGTGAATTACCTTTCTATTAAAGTATCTGATAAGAACAGGAATTCTTCACTGAACTGCCCAAAATCCTTTGGTCTCACTGCTTTTTGTGTTCTTTCTACAATCTGTACTAGATCTGGCAGGAACACCACCTTTCTAAACTTAACACTGAATGGGAGAACAGGGTCATTCTGTCGCACTTAAGCTCTTAACAGAGCAAGGCATCTAGCAACATGAGATCTTGGAGACCCACAGCCTCTCAGAAAGAAAAGTAAGACAAACAGAAGGAAAAAGACACAAAAATTCAATGGTACCCTTCAAACCAGCATATTTATTTCAGTGCAAGCTTGGTGGACTACAACCTATTTCTTCAGATTATGTGTGAAGAAATTACAATTGTGGATTACAATCAATTTCTTTAGTCTAAAAAGGAGATTGTATTTCATGAAAGCTCACAATGAAATAAATCTTTAGTCTTAAAGTTGACACAATATTTTTCTTTTTATATTGTTTTCATTTTCTTTTTGCCAAAATGACATAGCCAGCTCCTTGAAAACATCCTTCCTTCAAGTTCTAGGGAAGGGGCACTCAGCAATTAAATACTGTCATTCTCAGTGTTTGTAGAGGGGACAAGGTTGGGAAGGTTGTTTTCAGAAAATGTACCCTGCTCTGCTTATGTGCCCTCTTTTTGCTAAAAATCGCAGAACATAATGTCAAGGTTACCTGAAGAGAGTTTATATTTTGTAGCGGAGGCCTTAGAGCGTCCCTTATCCATCGATAGATCTCAACAGCAAGAAGTTTGGCTTCATCTCGAACAGCCTTCTCTCGAGACTCAAAAAGTTTTGGCAATACCTTGATTATTGGCTTCAATGAGATTATTTTGGAGCCAAATTCACTGAAATATAACACAGAGATAGATATGTATGTACATGCCATAACAGTAGTGGTATTTTTTACAAGACAACATTAGCTTCATTGGACAAACATACAGTGCACTGAATATGCTTTCAAAACACGTGTAGTCTGGGATGATTTATGTTAACTGCAAATGTGCAAAACTTCCACTTTACCGAATTTGGGGAAAAAGGAACATATTACCAATTTTACAGCAGAGTCCTAAACAAATTTAACCAGAAGCAAGTCTTACTGAGATCAAGGGAATTTATTCCCTTAGGCTGAAGCATTCATTGTGTTCCTTAAAAGGATTCCTATGTGTTCTTTCATTACTTGACTTCAGAATCATGTACTGTACTTTTGGGTCACATGGTTTTTTTTGTGATAATGTTTTTATTGTTTTCAGTGTGGAAGAAGTCTAACTTGAAAGTATTGTGCAAGAACTACGATGTCTGCATATAATATGGGTATTGTCAGATACCACATTTTACTAGAAACCTCAAGAACATCTAAGCACATAATTGATGCAAAACTATGCAAATTATTGAAAACAGAATGTATTCTTTGAATGAAACAAAATATGTGAAAATTACAGTTAACTACTTCAAAGTTATTTTTTTAAAAAACACCACAAAAGAGGAAACCAGAGTACAGACACATTTAAGATGGGCCTGGAATCCCAGCACAAAAAAGTGAAAACAGTTAATTACAGCAATAAATTCTGCATATTCTCTGCTCTAAAATAATGGTTATATTTTTTTTCATTTTAACATAAAAGAGCAAGTTCTATAAGTCACTTATGAAACTGTCTCCAATTCTATCCAGTTTGAATGATAATCACTTTAAATGATATTACAGTACCTTAGTGCTCTCCTCAGCGTCTCAATACATGCTACTATGATCTTGGGATTCTTATTGTCGAAGCCTTTCAGCAGTTCTTCTTGTACTGTTTCCCCCTTCTCAATTTCAATAAACATAAGACATATGTCTATGCCTAGCTCCTTGGCCTTAGCTTTAGGTTGATTGAAGACTTTGTTTACAACTCCAGACACTACTTCTCCTGTTGTTCTTTTAAAAAAAGAGAGAAAGGGGCAATAGCATTTTGGATCCCAGCAAAATTCAGAGTCTCCCTCCCTAGAAATCAATGTCTTCTCTTTTCCAAACTAATTACAGCAATAATTATCCATCCATGTTTGTTTCCTTTAATGCTGGATGCTTACACGTACTGACAAATTATCTCAACCACATTTTCTTTGATTGCAATCAGTTTTCAAAGTAATGTACATGAGTTTCCTAGGTGACTGTGACCAAACCTATACAAAGATCTCCCTGGAACAGGGCTATCTTGCTTTCAAGGATACATACCATGGCCTGGTCACACACATACAGCGCAACACCTGATTTTCTACACTTGACTACCAGCTCAGTGTGTGAACTTTGTCTAGCAAAAATTCAAGCACCTGAGTTGATACAGAAATCAATCATATGATTGCACTATAACATATGTAGGTCTGTCCTCAACATAAAAGGCCCAACATAACAGCCTGTATGTGTTAAACACATACAATCTGTAAGATATTTGCTTCGGAACAATGGCAAACACTATACTTATTCAAAACTTCCATATTTATTTTATAACCCCTCCTAAATACAAGTCATTAAGCCAAATTAGAACTTTTTATACTCCACCTTGCATTTCACTGCAAAGCAAAATGGCAAATTGAAAAATCCAACAACAATGTACTATTAAAAAGGAATTAATTCTTAACTGAGAAAATAAACAAACTTCACTTTATCACATGAATCACTGTAAGTTTTCAATATAAATATGCAGATGAAGGCAAATCAGTTTGGAAGAAACATTGTCCATGCTTTATTTGATTACTCAGTTTTCTTGGGCAAAATCTTACTGCTGTAAAGTTACGCCATGGGGTCAGATAAGGTCATCCTCTGGCACCGGTAAAATATAATTTACACCAGCCATTATCAACAGGGGCAATTTTAATGCCACTGCATAACTTTATGCGAACAGGACTTTTGAATAAAATAAAATTTACTTTTGATGCATACTGTATCAATTGTTAATTAACCCTTAATTTGTAAATGCTACAGTATAAATAACAGTAATGTTAACATCTATCTCTAGGCAAGGAAGTTCCTGGATGAGACAGATTATATAGATCCATTTCAATCTGGCTTCAGGCCTAGTTATGGGGACACAGACTGCCTTGGCCGCCTTGGTGGATGACCTATGCTGTTCATCTGCTCCTGCTTAGCTCCTACAGCCCATGACAATAATTGAACAGACCAGGAAACCTCTGCTCATGATTTGTTCAGATCATGGAAATAATGTATCAACAATTAATTTGTCGCTATTCCTAATTTTTAAAAAATGCAATAATGATATTAAAATTAATTAATTAATTAATTAATTAATTAATTAACTTACTTACTTACTTACTTACTTAACTTATATGTTGCCCACTCTACCCAAAGGTCTCTGGGCAGCTTACAACAATTAAAATACAATTAAAAGATAAAACGATTAAAATACAATTAAAATATGCACCCACAAACACAAGTAATTATGGCAATTATTTTAAATAATGAGATTAACAGATTGAATCATAATTAGCAGTTTACTTTTGGAAAGATTCATCATTTTTTGTAATTTTAAATGGACGTTTCAAAGCTTAAAACATTATGATTAATGTAATGACTTAATAAAACAAATGTTTTTGTTTTAACTTCAATGTTAGAATGCTGGCATTAACAGTACCATTTCCAAACTCAGAGTTTTCCCACATTATACTCAAAGTAGGAATCCTCATTTTTGCTCTCTCAAGAAGCAGAAATATAACCCAAGACTTCTGATTTTTAGATGATGGTTCCCTAAGACTGAAACATGCTAGGGATCGTGACTAAACAAAAAAATGAAAGTAATAGCCTGGTTTGTTAAGCCTTGAAAGAGCAGATTTTCTTTAAAGCTTTTGACATATATGGCTCTAACGACACTCTTCAAAGCCCTGTGATTCAATTTAAAGTAGACACTGTTCCCTAGGGCTCTGCAGTTCATCAGCAGGAGAAAAACTTTTGGAATGGGAAAATACAAGGGTAATAAATAAGGAAGATGACACTTTCACAACAATGTTTTCACAAAAAATATTTTCTTCTTGAGTTTCAGAAAGAAAAATTAAGAGTTAAGAAGTTAGTATCTCTAGGATGTCATCTTAATTACTTTTCTATTTTTTGTAAATTGCAAAAGCTTTTACAAACTCTTTCTAGAAGAACTGTATCAAGTGACTTACTTTCCTGCTACATGAGCATTTTCGACATAGGCAAGTGCTGCTTCCAAACCTTTCAGCTGCGCTACTGCATTGGAGTCTGTCACAAATTTCTTTATAAGTCCAAGATACTTGGACCATTCAGGGCTCTTCTCATCATCTATCTTCTCAAACAGTTTCAAGGCTTCTTCATACCCATTTAACCGGGCCTTCCACAACTAGAAAGAGAATAGAAACATATCAGTAATAGTTCTGCTTGATTAAGTTGAGCTTCACTAAACAAGACATTAACATTGAAAATGAGCAATTCTGTGACTTCCTCCCTTCATTAGATCCAGACCAGCAAATAAAAGTTGTCTGAATCTTGATGTTATATGCTGTAAAGTTGCATCCAACGTATGGTGATCGTACAAATAATCTCCAAAATGACCTGTCCTCAACAGCCCTACTCGCTTTTTGTAAACTCAGGCCATCTCATATTTGGACTTCTTCTTTTCCACTTTTCTCAGCATTACTGCCTTTTCCAAAGAATCTTGCCATCTCATGATATGCCTAAAGTATAAAAGTCTCAGTTTCATCATTTTTGCCTCCCCATATTGTTCAGGCTGAATTTTATCTAGGACCCACTTGTTCATTTTTCTGGCAGTCCAGAAAAACTCTCCTTCTCCAGCACCATGTTTCAAATGACTCAATTTTTCTTCCTGTCAGCTTTCTTTACTGTTCATATTCCACACCTATACACAGTGATCACTGACCAAGAATATAACAGTGTGGATGATCTTGGTCTTCGTCTCCATCCTTACACATTCTTACATTTTTCAAGTCATTTTTGCTTTCTGCCAACAAGATGGGTGTACTCTGTCTATCTTAAATTATTTTTTACACAAATTTTTACTTTATTAATTTGAATCTAGTCTGGTACTAGATAATATATGTTTATGTGGTATGATGTTTTGTGTACAGATCAAACAGGTAAGAGAATTAAATGCACCCTTGTCTGACACCTTCATATTCTGTCTCTTCTTTCTATACTTTCAGAGCAGCTCTCACTTCACTTGAACTACAGGTTCTTCATCATAAGATTCCTCTTAAAGAGTCTGTCATCCTTTTGTCTCTGTTATACAGCTATTCAGTATACTGTTTCCACCTTCTCTTTTGTTTTTCCTGGTCAAATAGTGTGCTTCCCTGTTGGTCTTCCAAGGCTTACATTTCCCTTTGAATTCTTGGATCTTCGGGAAGAGATCTCTCCTGTGAGTACCACTACCTATTTTTATCTATACCAGCCCACAGAAACAGAAACTAATATCTCCACTGCCAATGGTGCACTATTAAGGATTTATCAGTTATACTGTAAAAAAGGAAGTGAACAACACAATTATATTCTCTATCTTCAAAACACACTTGAAAGAGCTGTTTCCAAATAAGTCTTCAACGATGTCCAGAAATACAATCAACAGCACAGCAACAGAAATAAGTGAGTAAATGGATGCTTCATTTTAGAAAGTTCATAGAATAATGTATAAAAAAACAAAAAAGCAAAGTGTGCTGCTTATATATTGGCCCATAGCGCTCTAAGCATTCTCTGGGTGGTTTATAAGTTAATTATGTAATCTATACATCCCCCCCAGCGAGCCAAGTACTCATTTTACTGACCTCAGAAGAATATAAGGCTGAGTCAACCTTCAGCTGGCTACCTGGGATTGAACCCCAGGTCATGAGCACAGTTTTGGCTGCAGTACAGCAGTTTAACCACTACACCAAAGGCTCTTTAAAATTTCATAGAGATAAAAAGAATGGAGGCAACTCAAGTACCATATTTTTCCATTTATAACATGCCCCTGTTTATAAGCCACCCCACCCACTTTTCTAACCAAAAAATATTAAGAAAACTTAGCTTTGAATGTTCAGCCTCTGGTCACAAAGTCAGACATTACGAGTCTCTGTTAATCTGAGCCTACAGGCTCCATCTCCAACAAGGTGTGTTCCAATTGATTTGTATAGCACCAGCTGACATCAGTTCCATAAGGCTCGTGACTGTAGGAAGCTAAGCCTCATGACTGAAGGAAGCCCATTTACAGAGGCAAGGTATGTGCCATTTCATTCTCTCTTCAGCTATCTCAGCTTACTTCCATGTAAAAGACACACCTCAATTTTTAGTGTAATGGTTTGACGAAAAAGTAGCATCTTATACACAGAAAGTTATGGTACTTTGATGTCAACTATGGATAGGCTTACCAGCATCTGACAAAGGAAAAAAACTATCTAGAAAGGGAGAATCAGATATAGTCTGAAGAAAAGCTCTACATATTTTCTACAAAAGATTGTAACACCTCTGGAAACAAAAGGGCAGCATAGATTAGGGTAGATAAAATGAATGATTTTTAATTGATATAAATTAAAAACATTATTTAAATAATCAAAAATCTGATTTTTTTAAAATTTAAATCATGATTTAAATCTATCATAGGATTCCTATTAAATCTATCATAGGATTCCCAAATCATTTTGATTTAAATCAAATCCCCCTGGCATAAATAGATACTGGCCTTATTTGTGCCACAGACAAAAATCAACAAATCTACTTTCAGGTACCATCTACCCTCAAGTACTATCTTACTGGTGTTCTAACAAAAATGGTATACACCTGGGATGTTATACACATAGGACTGGATGTAGCCAGTGTAAAACCAATATTTAAGAATATAGCCAAGAAATTACAGGCCAGGTAGCATAATATTAATTCCAGGTAAATTGGTGAAATTATCATTTATACTCTAAGAGTTGACAGCATGAGTCTGGAACAGGATAAAAAATCAGAAGTGCTAAATGGATAAGGAAGAGCAGAAAGAAATTTAAAGATCTGAGTTTGTTGCATAAGGGGTCTATGATGTTTGTTGTCACAGTATGACAACTAATGAAGGTCACAGTGATCTTGCTATTAGATAGCTCCTCTTTTCACAAAAGTTTTACATTGAAATTACAGTGCAAAAATGTCTACTATTCCTAGACATATTTGAAGCTTCTTTATCAAGAATCATTCTTTATCAAGGATTCAAGCCTCTTGATTTATCTGTCTGCTTTTCTCTTCTTTTTAGGCTTTCCATCGGTGACCCATAAGGCAGAAAGTGACAGTTGCAGAGTCACAGTCTGCCAAAATAAATGAATGCAACACAACTGCCACTGTTCAAGTCCATGAGAAGAGAGATCTCATAATTCCTGAGAGACTAGCAGAGCCTTGAATTCAGAGAACATGGATGAGATACTGTGGTTGTGACTGGTAACTAAACTGATCTTGAGGTGGTCCAATTCAGAAGAATGAAAGGACTTAAACATCCAGAAGAGGTGAAATGTGGGAAGAGAACTTTAAACAAATGCAGAAGAAATCTGAACAATGATGGAAGCTGCCATTAAGAAATGTGATTCATTTGGAATGTAGCGTTGAAGGAGAATTCTATAGCTATCATTGACTGCTAAAAAGACAAATAAGTTCTAGACCAATCAAGTTTGAACTTTCATTAGAATCTAATATGGCTTACAACTAAAATGTAAAACTGATCTTTTTTAAAGTTTTAAGCATATCTTGATAAGACAAGACTTGCTGAATGTTAGGAAAGGTGGAAGGTAGCAGGAAAAGAGGGAGATCTTATATAAGATGGACTGACTTGAAACAGCAAGCCCATAAAAGAAGTAAGTCTACAAGGCTGGGCTGGACTGCTAATGACAGGAGCTTTAGGAACTCATTAATTGATAGGGTAATCCTAAGTCAAAAGAAACTTGACAGCTCATCTCACTCATACAAATACACACAGCAATCTTACCTTGTGTTCACATTTCTGATCAATGGGTAATTTCATCCATTCACTATCATCCCCCATGATGCTTCAGTTTCTTTTAATTCTTCACGGTAATTCCTAGGAAGATAAACAAAAGTTTAGGTAACAATGTACTGTTGTTAGTAAAAGGTGACAGATATAGACTAGCAGATAATGAGAAATCTGGGTGAACCTGAACGTTTAAAAACCCCTCCGACAAGAAAGAACACAGTAAACAATTTTAGTCATGGCTTGAATATTCCACAAATCTGGAGTCTGTACATTCCAGTAAGCTGTACTGACATAGAAATCTGAATAGTTTTGCAAGGACAGGAAGCAATGAAATATATGAGATGATACAAGAACTATGAGTATGACAACGACAACAAATGTTTGACAGACTTGGCAAGAACTACAAGGCTATTTCACTGTGAATGAAACAACATAAAAAAAGCAAGCAGCACCATGCCAACAAGTCAAAAACCTACATGGCATGCCCAAATACTAGCTGGAAATAAACATGGGCTGCTAGAGTACAGATTTTGCTTGTTGGCAAATGGCCTCTCTTTTTTTAAAAACTCAGATGTCAAATAATGAGAATCACAATTCAAGTGTTACTACTGATGCATATTAAAAATTGCCACTCACATTCTTCACAGTAGTAATCAAAACAGCTTAACAAAGATTCTCCCAAAAGTATTTTTAAATGTCACTGCAGAATGACTTTTTATACCAGTGAATAACATTACACTTTCATTCAAGCTGTAAATGAAATTGTGCATTTGCTTATGCAAAAGCATTACATTATGTAAAACACATTAATAAAAGCTAAAATTAATTATCCAAAATATTCCCCTTTTCTATGTGGAGTTTCTCTCTGGTAGTTTTGTCCAAAAACAATCTCCACCTAGTTCTAATGTATTAAAAATTAAAATAACGAAATGCGGAGCTGCACAAACAAATGCACACAAGCAAAACTTCAGAAGGATGTACCATGTAACTATACTAATAATTCTCAAACCAGACTGGACCTGTAGGCCATGGAATAAATTCAATATTGGTTTCAACTAGAGGAATATCTTTCATGATTCCAACATCTTGTCCCAATTGGACATGTTCCTTTGTCCTCCAAAGAGAAGAAAAAGCTTTTTTAAAAAAAATCCTTGTATCCATCAGTAATCTAATGCATTTTTAATGACCAATTCATAAGTGGAGGGTAAGCTAGAAAAATCACTTGTGACTATCCATACAAAATTAAACAACATACCTACTGGAACTACTTCTGGTCAATACTGCCTTATCTAATATTAATCATGAATGTTAATAGGAACATGCCCAAATTGTGTCAACAGGAGAGGCTCCTACATTTGCAATGCTTTCTAGGTATTCGCCATAGTTCATGATATAATTCACAGAACTCAAGTTAGTCCAGCACAGTTTCAAGGTAACCTATACTCTACTAAAATGCAAAAGGACGCAACATAAAGTATCTGACCTGAAGGCTATCTTGTCCAACCATCCTAGGACAAGTTTTTCCCACATTATGAAATGATTGTAAGAAACAGGAACACTGAGAACATAAGTAAAACCCAGAAGTCTCAATCAAGCCCATTATACTTTAGCATACCACAGAAGGTGAGAAAATGCCAGCACTAGCAACCTATGATGTTCCCTCATCTGCATGCCACTCCACCCCCTCAGTGGAGGACTCTTTCTCCTCCACACACCTACAATGATTGTTTCCAGCCCCTTTGGTTCTAATCATCAAACAAAACCCCGCGGGGGGGGGAGGCACATGCACAAGGGGCAGCAGAGTTTTGTGCAAGAAGGATGGAGCCCCGCCCAGCAGGGATGAAATTTAGAAGGAATGCTGGCAACCAAATTGGCTCAGGGAGCAAGAATGATTCCTCAGAGTAGGGACTAACATAAGAAGCAGTAGCTCAAGGAGGGGAAAGGATCCTTAAAATTCAAAAACCACCAACAATATTTTTTAAAAATACAGTTACAAAACTAAAAGAAAAAATTCTAAAGCCTAGGATATCACAAGTAAAAGGAGAATTAAAAACAGAATTGAAAGCAAGATAAACAATCAAGGGTGCACGATAACCAGTAAGATGTAGGAATGTCAAACAGTCATAGAAATAGCACCAGAATTAAAAATCCCACAGCAGACAAATGCTACAACTTCAGGCAGATTTTGCTATATAGTAGACAAGGGAAAGTGGATTTCCCTCAGGGGTGATTTGCAAAGCCCAGGCCAAGCTTCCGAGACAGTCTTTTCCTTTGTCTCAAGCAATATACTGCAGGAATGATGGAACAGTCAATAATTCCCTGTTGATTATGATAATGAAGGGGCATCCACATATGGAAGAAGGTGATCCTTCACATTCTTCCCTGCATGTATAAGAGTAAAGTAGAAAATCTGGCAATTGTTACAAATAGTAACTACACATACTACTTCTTGTAGAATAATGTCTAAGTGCCCTCATTCAGGAAAAAATTGCCATGCCAGTTTACAAAGGACACATTACCACCAGATGCACCAAGTTTTAAGAATTACAGAGCAGCCAAACTGCTGACTGCACTACAAAATTCTAGTCCTATAATCAATAAATACAATGGAACTGCCAGTGTGGTATAACAATCTGAGCAGAGGTCCAGGATTCAGAAGATTAGGGTTCAAAGCCCTACTCAACCATACAACTCACTGGGTGAACTTGGGTCAATCACACTCTTTTCAGCCTCACCTACCTCAAAACATTGTTGTGAGAATGAGAAAGGAGAAGGAGAAACCTGAATGCCCCTCTGAGATAGTTACAGAAAGGGCAGAAAATAAATGCAACACATACATGTGTAAAAAAATTGCCATCTAAAGCTACTGACATTTAAGACTCAAATAGCAAATAACTTTTGCAGGGCACAACATAAACTGTACTGAAATTTGTTTATATATTATTTCCCTTTTAATGCTACTTCTCAGCTCCCTATTATCTTCGGAAAAATTGTTAAGTGAAGAAAAACAATAAAAGTATTAGCTTTAAGAAAAAAAAAGGATTAGAAGTACAATCTAGGTATTGAAGTGCACTTAACTGAAAGAACCTCTCAGCTGTTTTAGGTCCAGGAATTCTATCGTTATATTAAAAAGAGCCACATAAATTGAAACCAATTTGTACTGGTTGTATTGAATTTACAAAACCTCATATTCAGGTATATTATACTGAGCAATATTCCATACAGGTAGCTAAAACCTGCTTACAAGTCTCCAGAAGTATTATACTCAATAACACCAAAGATAACAAGAGTGTCCAGAAATTCTTAAAATTAAAACCTTGATGAACCAGCCACAGAAATGCCTTACAAAATAGGAGAAGTTGCTGTAATTAAAAAGGCTGCCAGCCTCAAATAAATGTGATTGTACAATATCTCATTTGCAACGCTGCTCATTCATCCAGGTTTCAGAATAGAAGCAACATGGTTTCTAATGGTGGTTCTGGGTTTTTCGGGCTCTTTGGCCATGTTCTGAAGGTTGTTCTTCCGGACGTTTCGCCAGTCTCTGTGGCCGCCATCTTCAGAGGACAGCAACCTGTACTCTGGTGTAGTTGGCTTGGGA